TAAAGCAGTTTAGGGCAGCACTTGCTGGAAACCTCTCGACCATTGTGAAGTTACGGATTTGCAATGCGGTAGAAATGGTGCCTGTCAATCGGAAGTGAATCGGGTGAGCATTGGGGAGCTGTAATTCTGCCTCTCATTCTATTCGAATGCTTTTGAATTTGGTTTCTGCTAGTGGAAGGACCTGTGTCTGTGAAGTTCAAAATCTAATCAGCCAGTGAAGTTTCAAAACATGGAGCGCTTTTTCAAATCGGTTAACGCGTGCTGTAGGGGCACGTGCGTGGAGCATGGAAGTGGTGGTCATTATTTCTGAGTGGCCCTGGGATTGTAGAAAAAGGGTAAAACATTCTCTCCAAAAGGTAAAACTTTTCCATTTTTAACAAACTCTACAGCATTTGCAGCGTTGAAGAGCTGCATTTTGGAAACTCTCTGTTCATTGATTAAGCTTAGACACATATTAGCCCAAGGAAGTGGAATTCAGAGAAGTACAAAAATTTGTTTTCAGTGGGGATCACACCACGGGTCCTGGTTTCGGTATGTTTTTAGCATTCCCAAAGCCGCTCAGAAAAAATTATCTCAGCTCTATGCTACTTGTGCGTGCCTCTAAAGCATGCAAGAAACAGTTTCGGAAAAACGCTTCATATCCTGGATGACTTTCCTGCTAAGAGCAGTTTCGCTCTGACACTTGTGCTAAATCACTCAAGCATTTTTATTACCCAGTTTGGCAGGACCAGTATCTGATCATATATTTTCAAACAAAATCACACTCTTTAGGCTTCTTGCCACTGCGATCATGGCTTCGCTGGACCACACTGCACTGTTAACAAAAGCAGCCTGAGTTGGCACTCTCCAAAGAAGGTTATACAGAGTTTGTTCTCTTTCTCAATATAGATCTCATCTGTGTGGCCCTTCCGCCCCTGATTGAAGCCCTTCCACCCCCTTCACACCTGATTCACCTGTGGAGAGATAAATTAAACTTCTACTTAAAATTTGATTCGAGATTACGTACGCCATGTATTAGGTTGTCTCATAAGTAGTGTCGGTTTTTTTTCAAGCAGAAAATTTTCTCCTAAATTCCTCCAAGTTTTACACCATGTCATATACCATTCGAAAGAGAATTGTCTGCTCTACAAGATGCTATGTTTTCTTCCACCATTTGTTCCAGGGTTTTCAAATTTTGAGGCCTGCGAAATGGGAGGTCCAGCCGACAAAAATTGACCAAACCGACAACTAGCTCTAACTTTATTTTCCTCTAGGAGGATCAACCAATGATGAACCCTCAACTTAGTCACGACCTCTTCTAAACATTCCACTATTAGGTTGTCGAAAAAGCTTTGCCGTAATTCTTTTAAAATTTGGTTTTTCTGGTCGATCCATAAGGCATAGTGATTTTTGAACTGAAATTCTCTCGAAAAAACTACTGTTTCACATTTTCGAGAAATGGTGCTTGCGTCGACTTCTGGTTCAAAAACCGAGTATAGAAAAATTTTCAGAGGAGGTTCTGACTAAGCTGGTGGTCACTCATTCTCTGATTTCTCCTAGGGACAGGTAGAGCTAGTTGTCGGTTTTGCTATTTTTCCTCGACTGTTCCTCCCATTTTGCAGGCCTGAAATTCAAAAACTCTGCCATGAATGTGGAAGGAAGACATGCTCTCCTATAGAGCAGACATTTCACTTTCGAAAGGTATATGAGATGCTGTAAAGCCTTGGTTAGTTATGAGAAAATTTTTTGCTTGAAGAAAACCGACACTACTCATAAGACAAAATAATAGATGTC